CCACAGCCCTTTTCTGAAGCTCGCTGCTTTTCAACATTACCCAAGTTCTTTTCCAGACATATTAGAAGAGCCCAGGATCTTTTATCCTTGAACCATTCTGAAGGCTTGGAAAAGCTACCTCTTGCTTTCTTCCATTCTTTCTACCCACCCCTAAGTTGTTCCCTTAGCATTGGAGTACAAAGCATCTGCAGGGGCAAAATAAGAGGGTAGGTAAAGTCTAGCTCAAACAGTTTCTCCCGCTTAGATTTCTTTGAAAAAAGAAGAAAGAAAATGCACAATCTAACAGATTAGCCAAATTGAGTTACTCCATAAGACTGTGTGTGTGTGTGTGTGTGTGTGTGTGTGTGTAAAAGACCAGATGGAAACAAATTCCAGGGGAAGTAGATGCTCACCACTCATGGAGGACCCTCACAAGTGGGCTTCCCCACACCGTCAGATTTTGCTCAGATGCAAATCTAATAGATTCAAACTATTGCTTTATTTAAATACCGCAGAACTTCTACTGTTCAAAACCATGTTTATCTGAATTCATGGTGTTCCTTATGTATAATCCTTATAATTAGCTGTCTTTACAGTTCTGTGTCTGCATGTTCCTGTGAAATCAAAGCTCCCGTTTGAACAAACTTTAGATAGTGTTATTGAACGCCTCCCAAATCATATGGAGAAGGAAGTCTGCATTATACTGCAAAATGTCAATGATCCAATCCAACCTTTGCAAAACCTAAATCCATAAGGGTTTTTTTATTTCTCAGTTATCTCATTTATATACTTTGTTCTCACTGCCCTTCTAGGTGTGGACTGAAAATGTGCCTAGGAGGCACAGAAATGCTGTGAAATATGATTTGTTATGAAAAACATATGGATTTCAGTGGCATTTATGCCACCACATAACAAAGAAGGTTAGTTCTACTGATCAACCTTGATTTAAGCTTCATAATGTGGAGGGGGTACAGAAGGTGGAGACAACTAGTGCTTTTTTCTGGGGGTACACATACCCCTAAACATTTTGTGAATCTAAGTTTGGCCTCATTGAGGAGCAGTATTTCAATATGAGTAGGAAAATGAGAGTACCCCTAAACTTTTTTTAAAAAAGAAAAAAAAAGCACTGGAGACAACCCAAGTCCATTTAAACCCCACCTGTCCAAAATTGCTAGCTTGATGAAGTGAGTATTGGAAAGCAAAAATAAGGGCATAATCATCTAAGACTTGTGTACGTGGGCCCATACACACTGATGAGCACTGTGGCTTTGTTGACTTTTATGCAGCGTGGGCTATGGAGTCATGCATTCAGAGGACAACTAACCTGCTTATCCTTAATGTGATCACTAAAGACCCCATGCTATGGCTGAGGAAGACCATAAGTAAGGCTTCACTCATCTGGTGCCTTCTATATGTTTTGGGCTCCAACACCCATCAGCCCCAACCAGCGTGGCCACTGGGCAGGGATGATGGCAGTTGTAGTCCCTAATGGGCACTAGGCTGGAAAGGGTTGATATAGGAGTTTTTGAAAAGGTGATGCCGTCGAGCTTAGCTGCAAAGCTACAAGTGAGAGAGATCTGAGTTTGGAAAGTCAGAAGGATCAGTTTTCTTCCATTTCCCTCTGATCATAAACCAAAGAGTGGGAGACAGAAGTGTTGAGTGAACCTAGATCTGCCTGAGTCTTTCCATATGCCTCCCAGTCATACTGAACGGAACTCCTTTGACCATTCCAATTTAAGGCACCATAAGGCATCTTCCTACTTAACATTGCTCAACTGCCGGTTGCTGCATAGCCCTAAACAAAAGGCTTGTAAATGACTTTGCACCATGATGTACAACCAATTCTGGAGGCGGGGCAGGGGGAGACATATCCTGACATCTGGCATAACATCATTCATTCTGGCTGCACAAATTTGGTCAATGTTTCCTTTATAAAAACGACTTTTGGGAAGGATTTACAACTTACCTTAGGTGGTATGCAGGGAGTCTGGTATTACAGAAAGACTATAATTAAGGACATTTACGATGATATAGTGCATATTAGCCTCCCATATTAACAAGAGAAGGAATATAAAATTTATAACACCTGGAATTAACCATGGTTACCAGAAGTCACACTTTGAGCTGAATGCTACACTTCAAAAATAAACTCCAATTATCCATGTAAAAATAAGATCCACTAGGAAATTAGCATAAGGAATGATTTGGTTTTTCAGAGACTTGATTATTTATCACTTTGCTCTATCCATTTGCTGTTTTGATACTGACTGGTCACAGAACACCCAGTTTTATTTTCAAGCTAAATGAAATATATGTCAAATATCAGTGAATGTATTTGATATATATTCGATATCAGCTCTTTAAAAAGTACAATCTGATATGCATTTACTAAAAAATAAGCTCCTCTCTTCCTCTAGTGCAGCCAGAGGGGGCGGATTTAGAAGCTTACACTTCTACTTTAAACTAGCTGCACCTATGTGCTATTTCTGAATCCAGGCAAATTGCAGTTTGTCCTATGGTTAGTTGAAACATGCTATTGTCCTGATTTAAATTGGCAACTGCTTTTAGCCACAGTGAAGACAGGTGCTCATATTAATTTGTAGCTTTCATTCCCTCTCCCTCAGTGAGGCTAATAGTGATTGAAACTAGAGAAATGACCCTGAAGGGATGGATACAACTACCCCCTGCTGTGCTACAGCGTTTGTATCTCACCTCTGCCCTTTTAAGCCCCCACAGCTATTTCCAAGTAAATTTGAATCCATTCACTGGTCTGCAATGCCATGCATAGATGGGCCATAAGATATTGGGATATGGATAAAGCAACTCCCAGTTTGCATCTCATCTCTGTCACAAACTCACTACAGTGGTACCTCGGGTTACAGACAGCTCGGGTTACAGACGCTTCAGGTTACAGACTATGCTAACCCGGAAGTAGTACCTCGGGTTGAGAACTTTACCTCAGGATGAGAACAGAAATTGTGCGGCGGCGGCGCAACAGCAGCGGGAGGCCCCATTAGCTAAAGTGGTACCTCAGGTTAAGAATGGTTTCAGGTTAAGAACAGACCTCCAGAACAAATTAAGTTCAGTAGCCCAGAGTTGAAAATGAACAAAGTTGCTCTCTGCGCACTCCTGATTACCAGCTCCTGGTATCCAGAGACATGATAATATAGCCATTACGACTAGTAGCCCTTGGTAGCTTTATCCTCCAACAATTTGCTGAATCCCCCTTTAAAGCAAATCTAAGTTAGTGGACTTGCCTACTTCATGTGATAGTTTAACCATGTGCTAGTTGAAGAAGTACTTCCATCTGTCTATGCCAAATCTCCCATAATTCTTGTTCAGTGGATGACTCTGGGTTCTAGTATTATGAAATAAGGATAAATACTTATCTCTATTCACTTTCTCTATACCTTCACTGTATACTTTTCAACGCCTGCTGAAGAAATTCTTATTTAGGCAAGCTTATTCAGATGTTTCAAAAGTTTGTATGAGCTTATTTAAAAAAAAATAGACTACTGTATTCTGGTTTCAACTTTCTTTATGCTTCAAATTATGGCTGTATTCTTTTTTAGTGATAGTTTTATTGTTTCATCTTATTGTGCACTGCTTTGAGGGGTTTTTTTTTGTACAGTCAAGTGGTATGTAAATTTTATGAAATAAAAAGAAAAGAAAATAGCATGCAAAATTATATATATTCCCATCAAGTCCTTGCCTCCCCGCCTCCTCTCCCTTGACCAGCTGCTATTACTCACAGTGAAGGGAAAAGATAGGCAGCTACATTACTTTGTTCCTGTCTTCCACAGGTTCTAAATGATCGAAATTTAACTCAGCCTTTTTAGGAAGCCACCACACCGCATTACTATTGCCTCATCAATGTATAGATACAGAGAGGGGGGTGGGGGAGACAGAGAGAAAAATTATGAGTAGCTGTGTAGCTGGGACCTTCATTAAACCCATCTCTCTTTCCTATATTCTTCCGGTGAGGTTTCCCCCCCACCCCCCACATCCACGCATTCCCACTCACACCAGAATCCTTTTTTCTCCCTGTCACATACTTGGTTACACTTCTCCCTTCTTTTTTCTCCCCCAACTGAAAATCTCAACAAACTCATTGTACCTTCATCTCCCACGAGCAAAATCTACTCTAGCAAAGTCAGTCAGATGACATTCCACCTGTCAAATCTTCTCACATCTGATATCTAAACCTCCACTACAAAGATCCCCTGGTTATATTTCTTCTTCATTCTCTGTGTCATTCCCTTTTGTACCTCCCACTAGTTATCCCTCCCCATCCTAGTCATTGCTTGCTTCCTCTCCCCTCCCTTGTCTTGAGACTCCCATACCTAGAAAATATGGGTTGATTTAAGGTCTCTCGAACAAGTCTCAAGTCTCCTTTGCTTGTCAGTACTAATTTGAATCTCAATGCTATTTTGGATGTATTTGTACCTAGTTGGTTGCTCATGCTTCTTTTGGAAATATTATTTCTCTGGGCATCCTTCCTTCAAGGAAAATAAAGTTATTGACTCCAAAGTGACATTCACAAAGTCACAGAAAGCAGAATGGTATTCAGTGTGCTATCTCCCCACTGCAGTTTTAAGGAACACAAGGAATTTCAGCCTGAACCAGTTCATCAAACACCCATGGACGTTACTGATTAACTTTAATGAACAGGCATGATGAATCTGTTCATGGTAAGTGAAAACAGCAAAGATTCAAGCACACTACCTGAAAGGACATGTATGCACATGCAAACCTTTTGATTCCACTATAGCCCTCAAACACAGCCAAGGATTCCTAGATGACATATTTTGCTCTTTGCAGGATATAATTGGCAATTAATTTTGTAGCTACAAGGAGACCTGAGAATATAAGCATGCAGATTAGAATTAGGCAAGTGCTACATTTTTAAAAAAATAATTACAGATGGATGGCAATTGAGTCTGATAATAAACATAATCTTGCCTCTCCGCAGGTATCCTCAGAAGTGTGTGCCCTTGGCAGTCAAGGACACAGGTATCTCCTTACCTGGGATGGATGTCCACCAGCAGCACGAGGGTCTGCATAGTGATCACGTCAATCCTTTTACAGTGAAAGCGTGCCACCTTCAGCACTTTTAGATATGTGAAACACAAGACTACGAGGGAGAGGAGGAAGCTGAGAGAATGAAAGACCCCTGTGAAAACCACAAATTGTGTTCTGTCCTCCAGTTTCTTGTTGTAGAGGGTGCAGGAGGCATAAAGGTGATGGAAACCCACCCAAGAAAGAGAAGTTGCCACTATAGGAAAAGACACTGAATGCAACCATGTATAGCTCAGTATGAGAGCAGCATCTTTGTAACGCATCTTGGAATGGTAGTTGAGAGGAAACACCACCGCTATCCACCTGTCTATGCTTAGAGCTGCCATGCTCAGCATGGAGCTGGTGGTCAAGAAAGTCTCTAAAAAACCCACGATGTGGCAGAGCTGGTCTCCTCCAGGCGGCTTCTTGTAAATGATCCCAGCCAGGGTCAGGGGCATGTTCAAAACAGTCATCAACAAGTTGCAGAAGGTCAGGTTGAGGATAAACAATCCTGGGACTTGCTTGCGGATATCTGCGCTGTACAGAAAGCAGATCAGCACCAGCACGTTGGACAGCAGTGAGACAAGGATGAGTACCACAATCAAGAAAGCCAGGATCACTTCCCAAATGTTCATGGTGCCTCCATTCACAGGAGGAACATTTCCAAAACTGCACCCAGCTGGCATCCAGAAAACATGGTGTGAGGCACTCTCACACCCTCCTCCTCCCCAGCCTGCTCACACTCCTGCATGCCCTCAGTATTTTTAGAAGAGCTGCAGTTTTTTTCTCTCTGCTGCTGCTGCTGCTACTGCTACTGCTGCTGCTTCTTTCCACGTCAACGCTTTTTAGAGACATGCACAAAAAGCATTGGGAATGCCTATCAAACTATGAGGAGGGTTTTAAAAAATATGTATCTCAGCAGCACCAAGCCACAGTCTCCTTCTAAAGAAAGCAGGATGTTCACAGGAGCAGTTCGTCCGAGATCCCTGATTATTGGTCCTAAAGCTTCCCAGCAATTCAATCAGTGTATTTATTCTCTTTACCTCTTTTCCTCTGTCTCTCTCTTGCTCTCTCCACGCTCTCTCTCTCCCCCTCCCACCTACACGCTTCCAGGCTGACTAACCTGCTTTTATGATCACAGATAAATCCCCCATTAATGGATTAAAGCATGCACGCTGCTGGTGATTTGCTGGTGTGATTGACATACCAGCTTCCTTTCCCTTTCCCCTTTTGCATCCCTCAGATGATATCCTCCTGATATCTGGGGATCTTGGAAGTCTGAAAAAAAATCCCACCCATCCATTTGATATCTTTAGCAGTTACTTTTCAAACAACAGATGCTAAAGCCCCATCTTTCAGCCTTTTTTATATTTTTAAAAATATATTTCAGTGCATCCTTAACAGGAATGATTCTTCTTTTATTTATGTTGACTAGCTTGGCTCCGGAGGATGGTGTTATTTTATCTTATTCATTTATGTTTACAGGATTTCTATTATGTGAATTTGAAAGTTTTCTCAGACTCCTTTAGAGAATGAAAGAAAGAAAACACAAATATTCAGAGAATAAATATACTTTCTTTGTAACTCCCCAGCCCAGCCCAAAGTCTGAAATAAAGAGAATCCATTTACAGTCCTCTTATATACATGCAGATTAATATGTATTTGCTTTATTTGCACGTATGAATGGTTTCACAGAAATCAGCATCTTTTGTGAAGGACTGTGGTTATGGAGGAGATAAAAGAACATCATGTTCGAGGGAAGAGAAGAAAAGGAAGGTACAAGTGCATAAGGTGAGGGGAACATCAAAAACATTGGGGAAGGAAAGAGGATATAGGGTTGCTTTCTAGCCTCCACCATCCACACTTCTGGAAGTCCTGTTGAAAGTCTCCTGTTGACTCACACTCTAGTAAATACTTTGTGGTCCATAACATTTTTTGCAGCCACAAGGAACTATCATCTTGATTTTTAAAAACTTGCAGACTCCAGATTTTGCAACTTTCACAGCTTCTTCAGGTATCTGTGCTATTGGGCAAGAGTTCAGCTCCTATTAATGAACTGGTTTGGGGGTGAAAATGCTGGATGCCTCCTCCAGTTCCTAATGGTTTTAAACATTCAGAATTTCAAAGGAGTAAATTATGTGTACATTGTCTAGTTTCTTCTCCCAAAATCACCAGCCTACATTTACTCTGAAAGTTGGAGCTCTCTACTTGAAACAGGTGCCTGCCAATTAACTATCCCTGAATCATATTCAGGTTTGTCTCATATCGCATTGTGCGGCAGAGCTTTGTTTTTGAGCAAATCAGAGCAGTAAATTCTCCAGATCCACCTGAATCTAAATATCCTCCCTGTTTTCCACGGTTGTGCAGAGACAGGTGTGGAGAGATAGGCCAGCAATATCAGGAAGGTTTAGGAGAAATAATAGGGAATTCTGCTTTTGATATATTGATAGGCTAATGAGAGCACATCCAGGCAAAAATGTCTGTGAGACGGGGGAAAGGGCAGAAGCTGACAGAGAATAGAATCTTCACAGAATCACCAAACTATAGAGTTGTAAGGGACCACAAGGTTCATCTAGTCCAACCCCTCGCAATACAGGAATCTTTTTGCCCAGTGTGGGACTCAAAACCATGACCTTGAGATTAAGCACCTCATGCTCTATCAGCTGAACCATCTATAGGTAATAACTATCCTAATTTACCACAAAGAAAGCCGTGGTGCCATGGGAATGCTTGTTGTCATTATATGGCTGTGCACTGGGTTAAAATGCAGCAAGGTCATTCTTTTTCCAATTCAGATTAAAGCTCGTTTTGTTGGGGGGTGGATAATCTGGGATATATTGATTTATTGCTCAGATAAGCGTCCGGTCCGGCACGCTTCCCCCAAGAGTCTCGGCATTCCAAGAGTCCGACTCATCTGAGCATAGCAGAGTTGAAATCAACAGCGGCTAGAGGAAGCTGCAAAAACTCCAGTGCATTCTTCAGTGTACTTAAATAAAGTCCACTCAGGTTCTTGGCAGCTAAAAGCAGTTTTATTTACAGCAGGCTATCCATTATCTATCACAGCGAACAGCATCGTGAAAAACACGTCCTCTCTCCTCAAAAGCGAAAGTAGAGAGACAGAACAAAGACTTTAGTCTCTCGGAACTGACGTAGCATTTCCCCCCTCCTCTCCACAGTAGGCAGGGCGTACAGCCTGAGCTGTTTAACCCTGTAAGCTCAGGTTCTCCTCACAGATAATGCATCAAAATGCAGTATTTAATAGGAAGCAATGCTGTGTGGTAGATGCAGATTTTGCCTAATGTTGTGTGCACACCACTTCCCGAACCAGTGGTGGGAATGCACTGGATGCAGAGTAAATGGGAGTATAATAGCCCTTGTGTGAAATATTGTATTTTGTGTGAGAGAGTGGGGAGAGGGGTTTCTGTGGTGAGGGAGCAGGAAGCTGTATGTAGGTGTGAGAAATCCCCTTCACACATTCTGAAACCATATGCAGCGAATGAGTGAAAACATGCTCTGCTTGTAAGCATCATTTATATACACATATATAGAACCTCTGTGCACACAGAGCTGACGGAGGGGCAAGGTTGTGGGTAGCGACAGTATGCACGAACCTGCTCCGGCTTCCATGCATTCGATTACAGACTTGTGAAAAAAGAGAAGTAGCAAGCCTGGATAGTGAAATCTGTGGACTGGGTAAAGGTTTTGTACATTGGGCTATACGAAACACACATTTCTAGATGACCGTGGGCAAGCCATTTGGGAAGCTTTAGCCAAAGGCTGGATGCAACCAGTGTTTCAAAATAATAAAATGCATGACTCTCTTGAAGCTTCTGTCCTTGTCTTAAGAATGGGAGCAGTGCTGGCTCTCCCCACACAAAGAGCCAAAAACCTGCCCCCACCTGCCCCCAAGGCAGAAAGGACAGTAATGCAATAGCTAGTATTTACCTTATTATTCTTTCTCCCAAATAAGTATACTAATACCCAGGTTTAGTTAAGTAAGTCTTGCTTTGTTTCATGAATTATAGGAACTCCAGCTTTTTCAGTATATACAGTTTCTGTCTCTAGATGCTCTGCCCTTTCTGGGGTTTTTTTTTTCTCTTTTTTTATATAGCTTTTAGAGTAGACTCGAAAATCAAATCCATCCAGCAGCAGCCCACACAAATCTTTGACTAGGAAATTGTCTGTGGGTGGATCTGTGGGGGCGGAAGGCACTGCTCTTTCCTTTGGACAGTTTTTCTGAACACTTTCTGAGCTTTATTCCATATGACCAATTAGGTGTTGAACTGTGTTCATTTTCAGTTGCATTATGTGCATACACAGCCACTTCAGGCACATTCTTTCAATGGTATACACACACACATTTTCTCTCCACACGATGCAGCTATCAAGATTTCTCTTAAGTGCCCAATATTTATGAGTTAGTAATGGAAATATAGGGATTTCCACAACGTAGAAATAAGTATATTTTTTCTCAATGTGAATTATATAGCTGAAGACTGTCATTAGTTGTGTGTGTGTGTGTGTGTGCGCGCACACGCAGAATCCCAATCATCTGTATGTTTTTTTCTATAAGATTTTATTAAAGCTTAACCCCTGTCACACACAGAAAGTGGTGGACCCTTCCAGTCTCTCACCTGGGAGATCTTCCCTTCCCTTCCCTGCCTTCAGGGTCCTTCCATCCACCACCTTCTTGTGCATGTAATCCTTGGACCCAAATAAAGGCCCGGAGCAGAGGACACCAAAGAAAAAAGAAAGAGAAGAAAGAAAGAAGAAGAAGAAGAAAAGAAAAGAATAAAAATAAAATGGACTTCCGATTTTCCATCTCTGTTACATTTAAATAATTATCCCCCCCCCAAAAAAAAATCATTCTAGGATGACATCCAAATATTGCTTAACAGAATGTAGAAAATTTTCCCAATCTTCAGATCCAGAAGTCTCAAATTTGTTCATTTCGCTCTTCACACAAAAAGTGCAAAAGGACTTCTCTAATTATTGTTATTAATAAATGTGAGCAATGGTTTTTCCTCTAATCAAACATATCAACTTTGCCTCCCATAACTCCAGCAGCCATTCCTCCATATTAAAAAATAATCAATTCTTCCATTTTCATCCATATAAGAGTCTCTCCACTGTGATCTTATATTGAAATAGTATTCCTTGGTTATTCTCTTATTATGTATCCATTACTTCTCACCCAGTTCTGTATCTTCCATTCCCATTTGTTGTTGTGCTTGCCATGGTTTTCCCTCCTTCTCTAATAAATTATCTCTTCCATTTACACTTCTTCCATTCTTTTTCCAAGAAAAGAGCCAGAGGTTTCATAGCTTTTTCCTCTGAATTCACTCCAAGTTGTACACAGCGCCCTTTCTCTCTCAGTGCTATCGGTGCCATCTCCCCAATTGAATCCACTCCTCTAGAATCACAACCCCACCATTTGGCTGTTTCATTTTTCCAAACATCTGTGTGAATGACTTTTCCATTTCACCATCTGTTCCTTCCAACTCTGCACTTTTCACTCTCTGGTTCTGCCCGTCCTTTATCCATATTATTCTCCAGAGCCTCTGTATAATCTTTGATTCCACTTTTCAGTTCATTTGTCTCTGGTTTACTTTCATTCTCCATTAGATCTAACTTTGATTCTATCCATTTTATTTGCTCATCAAACATTTGCTGAAGGATGCCAACAGAGAGTGGAATGTCCAAAGATATACTTGCCCTATAGAATGTTTTTGATCTTATTAACAATTCAGTCTCATTACATCTCCCATCACCGCCTTTAGATCGCCACAGCATTATATCTTTTTAAAATAAACACATTCCGTTCTCATTGTGAGTGGCAGAGTTACTTTTGATTTCTAAACAACACTTTCATCAAGCAAACAAAACAAAAATAAAATAAAACAAATTTTCTTAGCACACAGAACTCCCATGCTGATATAAAGCTTTCTTGACTGAAACCATTAAAGGATGCTTCTTGTTCTGCCTTCAACCCTTTAATGATCAACTTCCATTCCCTTCTTCTTGAAGCCAGAAATCAGCTCATGCACTGAATGTAAATTTCCACCGGCCGACAGATAAATCTCTCCCAGTTATAAATTATAACTGTCTCAGAAATAATTAAGAAAAGGGGGCTTTTGGAGATACCATGCCCATCAGGGCTCTTATGTGGTATTTGGGAGCGATGTCAGTTCCTCAATTCACAAGTCCCTTAACCCCATCAAGAATTCCTAGGAGCTGAGAGCTTCTTGGTCTCTTGACACAGAAAACAGCCATTTCAGAGCATCAGAGGTTAATCCTGTGTTCGCTCTTTTTTCCAGAGTGACTTGAACCAAGACTAGCTATCATCTAGCTATCATCAATCACCATGTAATTATCTCTGTCAGCAGCCTGCCAACAAAACTGGAATTAACCCTTTATGTCAACACATTAGAAATAATTGATTATCTCTCACCCCCTCCAAAAAATATATGGATACCAGATCAGTTGGGAGCCTTGTTTTATGGAATTGAATTGTAGAGTTAGAAAGGACCCTGGGGGTCATATATTCCAACCCCTGCAATGCAGGAATCTTAACTAAAGCATTCATGACAGATGCTTAAAAACCTCCAATGAAGGAGAGTCTACCACTTTTCGAATGAGTTCCTTCCACCTCTTACCATCAGAAAGTTTGTCACGATGCTTAGTTGGAATCTCCTTTCTTGTAACTTGAAATTTTAGTCTATGACCAAATGTGTAACATGCCACAAGATTTTAGTCAATGTACCTTGAGATTTTAGTCAATGAAATGGTTTCTTTGATTGATTGCTCTTACTAATTAATCAACTGCACTTTTGCAAAGACCCTAAGTGCTCCCACTGAGCCAGGGCAAATGAAGGGATTAGGCAGGATAAGCCTCTGTCTTTCCTCTTAATTCTGAGAATATCAGGAGCAGGGGGGTTTTCTGCCAGAACTCAGTTCCGGCACTTCTCAGTTGGGCATCATTGCCATTATAAGAGAACAAGGGAGGCATTCATGGTTCCAGCACCTCTTTTTCTAGAAAAATAGTGTTGATCAGGAAGTCTACATGACATGGAGATTGAAGTGGGAGGGAGCTTAAAATGAAACAGTTTAGGTCTGATCCAAATGAAGCTCATATTCCAGACTGAACCAAGGGAAACTCACCAATAATGATTCTAATCAGAGAAAAGTACAAGAGAAGCTTTTGACAAGGAGCCTTTAAAATCGACACCTAAATTATCTGAGTTTTTGAACACATTGTATCTGGAAAGTGCTATAATTTTACCTCTTCTAACCTTTACTCATCCCCCTCCCATTCCAGAAGATCATGGGGGTAGTTGTTATCTGACACTGTATATCCCTTATAACTATAGAGATAAGTGAATTTAAATTGCAGCGCAAGGTTATGATAAAGAGTTCTCGCTTTTGTGCTAAATAAATGTCAGTATGATTGTCTGGATACAGTCAGTTCCCAAGAGAGGAATTTTGAGCCTACAGGGAGATAGCACTTGTAAAACCCAACTCTCCTTATAAGGAAAGGGAGAGGAACTAAGAGACAATAGTGTCACAGAGACTGCAGGATGTCAGTTCCCCTCTTCTCAGGTGTAGGAGCAAATCATGCGCCCTCTACACAAAGGCAACCACAAAGCATGCTCTCCCTGATCTTAGGGAAGAAAATGGAGG